ATAATCCCTACGGGATATTTTAATTATTTACTGTTATAATATGAATTATCACTTATTCCCCGTTAAATAAATATCGGTCACCGGGTGCTGCTGTACAACTTCAAGGACCCTGGCCTCAAGTGCATGGGACCAACTCTACATTTTCTGAAATGTCAATAAAAGCCCTGGAATGATTTCATTTAAAAAAAATAATCAGAAGGTAAATCTATTTTTATTTATATGCTATTTGTTGCCAGAAAATATATTTTGTTACTAGTCTAATTCAAATTTAAACATAAACAATATTTTTTTCTGAAAATCAATGTCGAAATTTAGTGTATCATATATGATACAATGGGTCTGAGGCATATTTTATTGATATATAGAAATTAATGCAGTGTTCTCATTATGTGTTATTAGAGTGCCAGAAATGTCTCGAAATTCAGCCATTTGTGTATTTAGTATATCAAGTATATGCGTGTATTACAAAGCTCTGATTTGTGTGATTTGTGTACACCCCGCTCCCCCCCCCCTCCTCCTCGTATCACTATCAAATACATATCAATTCTGCTGCCAACCCACCTACGCGAACATGACTAAATTATGATACATTGTCTAGTTGTTTGTATGTTACGACAAAACGAGGCCAGCGTGGCTCATTTGTGCAGAACGGAAGGCCTTGCAAGGATTAGAGTCTAGTCGTTCGGATGGTACGAAAACCCGAGGTCAAAGTGGTTCCCCGTTGGCAGTGGTGAAGTATGGAAGGCCTAGCAAGGATCTGTGTCTAGTCGTTTCGATGGGACGAAAAAAGCCCATCCCCTCGTCCATGGTACAAGGATTAGTGCCTAGTCGCTTGGATAGTATGCAAAACAGAGGTCCCCGTTCTCTCCCTTTGTCCGTGGTTCTTGACCGAAGGCCCGACAACTAACTTTGCGTGCAGTTTTTTGGGTAGGACGAAAAATCGAAATCCTGTGTGCATATTGGCGTGCACGAAAAATAACCCTTTGCATTTGGAATTTTATGCAACTACCCCACCCTCGAACAACGCTTAACATAACATTTTGTTTTCACTACCTACATTGTAAAATTTGTTTGATTTCAGATGACTTAGCCCCGGTTTTTCACAGTGAAAGATTTTGATGAAACTTGACATGCATGTTTATAACCCAAAGATATGGTTCCTTTCGATATTTGCGCATATCGAATCGTAACTTCATGAATTATGGTCCCTGATTGTAAGAAAAATCACTTTATATTTCGCGTGTTCTCTATCTATCTCTCGGAAATGGAATATGGAAATACACAAGCTAGCTAGTGTATTACAGGGTGGTGGTGGTGGGGATGAGGTCTTCTATTTGCAATGATTTTTTGACTACAAAATATACGCTCTAACTCATTACTCAAACTACAGCAAAAAAGCGGGACCGTAAACCCCATTTTATATATTCTTACAATAGCAACGCACTTCGGGATTAACTTAGAAATGGTTCCACTACTGATGTCTTCCGCCTTACTCCTGCCACAGTAGTGGCTTGTCCTACGGAGTTCCTTTCCGCAAGTTTTTTTTAGTCAAATGACTACAAAAAGGTTACTGGCCTATGTATAGCTCCCTTAATTTACACATAAACTGACCTAAAACTGCACTGCACATATAATAAACCAATTCCCATTGAAATAAAGGTGTCATGGCGGCTCGCACATTATAAAAATCATTGCTTTGAAAATGTAGAACGCATTAACACAAAGAAAAACTGATCGGTAACTAGTTTAGTGGTCCAGTCTTCACTATAATTTGTGATAGAATTACTTATTTTAAAAAAACTGAATGATGTAAAAAATAAAAATGGTTGGAGTGTCCAAGTTTAGATTTGTCATTGATTTCATAAAGATGTTAGGATATACTGTGTGATTCAACATGGCGGCCGAGGGGTTTAATATGATATAAGTACGAAATACATGTACATGTAGTACCAAATGGTTTATATGTATGAGAGTCAAGGTTTGGACTAAATGTCTTGGGGAAGTAGGAGGCGACTAGTATGTGCCTCCCTTTAGTTGACCGATGTGAGATTGCCCATTGTATTAACTGGACGGGTAGGCCTATTCACCTTCAGTTATGTGTCAATGTCAAATAAGCAGCTTCTTATCAACACGGTCGGCTCTCGTAGCTGAGACAAAAAAGATTTTTTAGCCGAGAGAATATCTTCCGTCAAAGTGGTTATTGATTCATAGATTCTAATAACCCCTTTTGCAGTTTATATGAAAGCTTTGATATCTGCTATGCAGATCTAGTTCTTATTATTATTATTATTTTTCCATTTGAGCATATCTCAGAAACTACTTGTCGGGTCGATTCGACGTCTTCGGTTTTACTGGGAAAGTGGGTTTGACTTAAATTTTAAAGCTATTTCCAACGTTCTGCGACAATGCGAAATAACCGAAGTTGTCGTTTTTCGATATTTTGCCGTAATGTTATCAATAATTGTTGGATTGTAATATTTGATACATTTTGACATAGCCCGAGACAAGGCACATAGCTACAGTTCTTTGGATTTTTTATTTTCGACGAATCTTAGGAGATATTAGGCGCCAAATTTTGAAAATTTAAATTTTTACAAAAAACTTTTTTATTAATGAATATTTTTATGTGGTATTTTACTTAGGGTTAAAGAGTCATCTGATTTGACCAAAAATGGCAATATTTTTTGCACCGTATTTTTCCTTGGCCCCCATTGGCTAATTCAGTTTTTCAGTCCTGGATTAATTCTTTATTGTTCGATTTGTATAAAACAAAGTTCATATGCTCCGTGGTCCAAAATGTCATTTATTTGTTACTGGTAAAATTGCCTTTCGGCCACGGAAGTGACGTAAATTTAGCAAAAACTACAATTTTGAGAGTTCGGTACCACTTTTTGAAAGCAAATATTATTTTTTTCAAATCTGGTATGACTGAAAGGGTGTGCCCTGTAAAGGCGCAGAAAACATCTGACTCACTTATTTTAATTTCGATTTCGTTTTCGGGTAATTTCGATTTAAAGGTGAAAAAGGGTGAAAAAATGAGCTATTTACAACCCATTCAGGCTTTTCATATTTTAATATATTTTTTCGCAACTTTCATAAACTAGTAGTAATAATCCATACGAAGAGAATGTATGTGAAAATTAGTTTGTAATATAAGCAGTTGCCGAGAAATGGGCAATTTTGCATGAGTCCCTTTTTACGCTAGTTTGCCTGTAAAAGTGTCAATTATTATTCGATTTTCATAAAAGTGACACCATTTGAAGGGTAATGTCAATTTTAACTAGGTCAAACTAATTTAACATTTTCAATGTCACCGGAAATGACGTAATTTGGGCAAAAAATGTATTTATAGCCTTCAAACCAGTAATTTATTCAAACGAGTCGTATTTGTTATTTGTTTAAAATTTTGATATTTGATTCCAATCAACTAATAGAATGAACCCATACGATCATATAGATATCACAAAATGGTTTCTAACTTGTTTAGTTGCGGAGAAATAGACGATTTTCAACAGGTCAATTTTCAAGGTTTTTGGTCCATAAAAGTGTCAATTATTATTCGATTCTCATCAAATTTCCAGTGTGTGATACCTAATGCCATTTACGATTTCATACAAGTAATTTAACACTTTTTCTGTCACCGGAAGTAACGTCATTTTGGCAAAAACTATTTTTAGCCTTCAAAACAGATATTTTATTCAAATGAGTCTGATTTGTATTGTTTTTAAAATTATGATATTTGATTCCAATCAACAAATAGATTAAACCCACACGATCATACAGATACCAACAAATGGTTTCTAACTTGTACTGTTGCAGAGAAATAGACGATTTTCTACAGGTCACTTTTCAAGGTTTTTGTTCTATAGAAGTGGCAATTATTATTCGATTTACATAAAAATTTTCACCATGTGCTGCCTTATGCCAAATTTATGATTTTCATAAAACTAATTTAGAATTTTCATTATCACCGGAAGTAATGTAATTTTGTCAGGATCACTTACATGTAACAAATGTATACAATGAATTGATATTTCCGGATTTGGTTGATTCTGCGTACATTTTATTTGATGTGTGAAATGCTTACATGGAAACCTGTTTAATAGTTTCATCGGTACCGGAAGTGACATATGTTCAAGGGTAACGGGGCACCGGTGAAACCCGTCATTACTGCGTCGCAGTTCTAGTTTTATTTTATACTTGATGGGTATATGTAACAAATAAATAAAACAAACACTTTAAAACGTGTATACTGTTATCAGGAAAGCCCTGTGTTTAAGAGACATCGATTGTCTTGGTTATGTGAGAATGAGTCAAATACGTAATGACATTAAACTCAATGCTGTAGTTGAATTATATTATTGGCCTAAAGGGAGCTGTTATTGCTTAGAAATTCCTTGTTATTCGTCATTCGCTTGTCATTCGTCATGCAGATTAGGGAGGTCGATATTTGGACAATCTGACAGGTTTCAAAATTCAAAGCAAAAATGCTCAAAAAAAATAAATTTGGTTTAGTACCGTACATTCTGTAGTCTATACATACACAAACTTCTTTCCATTTTTAAATTCATATACATGTAATCTTCTGAGTCTAGTAATTATAAAATGTTCAGATATTCTGGTTTTGGTTACAAATAGATTCAGACATCACGTGTAATAATTCAATTTACCTTCAGACACGTAAACCATTGGTGGTAAAACGAAAGTACTAACTAGCAATGATTTGTTTAGTCTCGGTCACCCAGAACCTCCTAGTCTTCAACGTATGCGTAGAATCATGGAACTAAATACACATTATAGTTCTATGGTAGAGTGCAATGACGTAGATCTTGTAGATTTTTGTTTTACGTGTAGTGCGGTCATTGATCGTATAAACTGACCCTGCAGCAGCTGTCATTGGACGATGAATTATGTTGTACATCGCATGCGCGAAATAAACCTCCCACAAGTGATTTCCGGTAGAAGCAATACCACGCTGCGCTTCCAAAATCTCGTATCTCGAATTTTGCTACTTTTCAGGAGACACAAAAAACTTCACAGATCTAATAATAACTGGCGAATTGAATGGTTCCTTAAATACATGCTAAATAAGACTACCTTCAAGGTAGCTACGAGAACGTAGCTAAAAACGTTGAGATATACTGATGTGTTTGTTTTTAGCTACGATTGGCAGCCTTCAGTTTGACATGGCAAACTCATTTAGTACACGCCCTTTTTACCATATCCTGAGGTCTGCAATTTATTATCAGGTCCAAAATTGCCTTTTTGATTGGCTGTTATAAAAGCCTAATTTAGCCCCGCCTTCAAAATGACATATTATACGGTCTATATGCTGTTTATAAAGATGGCGGTCTTAGTAACGGCTTAACGCCTCGATTTTAAATACGACGATTTTACCCGTTTCAGGTAGGATTATATGCTTAATTGTAGTTGGGTGTTGTAGAAATATTATAAATAACAATAATCAATCGTTGTTTTGATTAAAACTATTGTCAATTTTGTTTTAAAATGCCGGGTGTGAATCGCTCCCGGAGCTGCAACGTTATAGTCTATAGTTATAATATTATAGGTCATGGCCTCAATTCTTAACTCGAAACACGGAGGGTTGAGAGATTAAGGTTTGTTATCTACGGAAGTCCCATGCTAGATATTTTAATTACATGTAATAAAAGTTATGCCTTTTATTTAAAATAACGCAATTTGTTCTGATTTGGTGTCTATGTGTAATTTTTGTAGCTTGAGGGAAGGTCCCAGATATTTTTAGAGGATAAAATTGTTTAATTTTGTGTGAAAAGCCAATACAAACCCTACCTTTGCCCCGTGCAACTATCCCAAACTATGTTACACGTTTTCAAACAAATATAGCCTAGACTGCTGTACCCATAGAAATATGCAAACATATATAATATATATATATATATTTCTATGCATGTCCCAGCTTTGTAAAAATTGTGTCTGGAAACACCCGACAATAAGTTCCTTTACTTTAACATTGTATCTAAGTGCCACGTTCATAAGGTCACTCGATTACTTATTTTGGGTCTAGGTCCCCCTCCCCCACCGGACATCCTCTCGACATTTGCCTAACCCTAACCATCAGCCTGTACATACAAAACAGGGATCATGTACCCTAGTTTCAACGCGTAATACATGTATCTAACCCTAACCCTGTGCTATAATGGTTCTAGATCAGGTATCAACCCCTATCCCTAAACCTAACCCGGGGGAAATGTCCTGTTTCCATTTATTTAACTCAAAGTAGATAAAAGAGATTTTGACATACGTGTCAAAACGACTCACTATTTTCTGCTAAACAATTTAAACGGGAGAAATTTATACGTAAAATGACTTTTATTTTTTATCTGAGCTATCAGTTAAAGTTACCTTTTACGACGATTGAATAGTACAAAGTAAGCCGCCTCATACAACAATACCTAATATCGATTACATGTTGGGTGATTTTAGCTCCATATATACAACACAACAGTTTTCAGCATTGGTCATCTATCTGTACGAACTGTTGTAATGGTTCTTGGTCAAACCCCTTCCCCCAGACCCCGCCCCCCCTGCCGCAGGACATCTGCCTCTGGGCTTTCACCCCCTGGACATTTCCCCACTAGAACATCTGTCCCCTAGGACATTTACCCTCGAACTTTCCCTCCTGGACATTTCCACCCCAAGGACATCTCCCCCCCCCCCACCGTTAGGACATCTACCCCCGGGACTTTCACCCTCCTTAGGACATCTACCCCAGGATCTTCTCACCCTGGACATTTGGCCCCGTAGGACGTCTGCCCCCCCCCCCACGTATTAACGAAGTTATAACCACCCGTGATGTATATTTGGTCCAGGCCTTTATCCGTTACATTTCTGGTAGCCTATATTTGTGTCAAGGCTGCTGTGTGGGCGTATTATCTTTCTCGTATGGCCTTTTACTACCCAGAATTTTCAAGTTATTGAAATACAGGCTTTAAAATTTAGAAAAGAATAAATTAATGGCCCTATTACGCTTCCGTAGAATTAACAGAGGGAGTCGAAAGAGTATTGCGTTTATACTCAGCTCTGATAAAAAACAAAAACATGTCTTCTCTTCATAAACTGGCAGTATTGACCTAAATAAATGAATGAGTTTATGTTGTTAATAGCACGTCGACACCGTAAATCATGTCAATCTACGTGTTATCGCCGATAATCTGCTTATGTTCTGGGAGTACCCCTAAGTGATCGGATAGGCTGCTCCCACACCTTGTCAATAAGATAGCAGAGAATGGGACTCGAACCCTCAACACCATTGATGGCAGACCAAGGCGTAGCCTATCGGCCACCCGACCTCTCCCCAAGAGTCGTCTTCTACGACACGCTAGGAATGGGCCGATGGACACATTCTACTATCTAACTCTGTATTATAATTGACCAGTAAAATAATGCACTGTAAAAAATGTATATTTATTTCACATTGTTTCTTGAAGTACCTCGTAACGTTCAGGGTTCTAAAGGGTGGGGTGGGGGGAGTGGCGTCGCCGGGGGGGGGGGGGCAACCTGTCTTTCAAAATTTTCTGGTAGAGGCCCCCTACCCTAGTTGAAGCTCGTGCCTTTGTCCCCTTAACCTTGGACTTTGCCCCTCCAATCACCGACGGCTAGCGCCGCCACTGGGGGTGGGGGGGCAGAGATGTTCCAGAGGGAATTTTTTTTTGTATAAACATATTTTATTCAAACAACATGAATAGGATTGGGTAACAGGCAGAGCCTATGTGAAAACCCTCTCCCTGTATACAGTATAATTTACAATAATAAAGTATTTACATATATACAAGATATTTACAGTACATGTAATTATATTATATAAAAATGGAAAACTTGTAGTATAATATCTATTAAATTAGGGAATTTTAATGAGAATTGAAAATAATAATTTTTAGAATCGTTGAAAAAGGTTAAAATACTCATGTAAGGTCTTAAAAATGGTAATATTTTCAGCAACGAAAAGATTATTTGATCCAAATAACAAATGATTGCTATTTCTGTATTCGAGAGGCAAAGTGTTTATCGTTCTGCGGCGTGCATCTGAGTGGTTTGTACATATGAAAAGAAAATGTTCAATATCTTCAAATGGATGACCACAAGTACAAGCTGGTTCATCTGATATATGTCTCAAAAACAAGTGGCCTTTAAGATCGCTACATCGGATTCTGAATTTTGAATGAATAATTTCGTTTTTTCGCGAACCAAAAAAATAATATATCGGAATGTTTGTGTCATTTTTGGAAAGTTTTTGTTTAAAGCCAGATAGTGATGTTGTTCTATGAACCGAGGTGTCTAACTGGTTCCATTCCCTGATGGGGGACGGTATAAATGTATTAGAAAAGAGATGTGTTCGGGATTTAAATTCCGTAAAATCATTATGGTTCCTTAATGAATATGGTAATGTTGGAGATTTTTCAAAAAGTTTTAAAAGGTATTTAGGAACAATATTATTGAAGACTTTGTACATAAGATGCAATTTGTGACGCTTCCGTCTCTCCATCAAAGGAATAAAACCAGTTTCTCTGTACAGTGATTCGTGACTGGTTCCTTTAACCGCCCCGCAAATAGTCCTAAGTGCATCAAGTTGAAGGCTTTCTAATTTATTAGCTAGTACATTTGAACAACCGTCCCAAATACTATCCGCGTATTCAAAATGAGGCAAAATAAAGGAAGAGAAGAGGGTGTAAAGGCTGACCCTGACAAAATTTCTACACTTAAAAACTGGCCGATTCCTTCTAATGTTTCTGAAATCCGTAGCTTTTTAGGTTTTTGTGGGTATTTTAGAAGATATATTAAAGATTACTCAAAAATAGCTAAACCATTAACTGATTTACTTGTTGGTGAGCCTACTTCCAAGAAATATTCAAAATCATCTGTTAATTCTTTTCAGTGGTTACCAGAACATCAGGAAGCTTTCGATACTTTAATTTCATGTTTAACCTCAGCACCAGTTTTAGCTTATGCCGATTTTTCATTACCTTTCGAACTTTTCACGGATGCCAGTTCTCATGGTTTAGGTGCAATTTTGTATCAAGTTCAAGATGGAAGAAGACGTGTTATTGCTTATGCTAGCCGTACATTATCTAAATCTGAAAGACATTATCCAGCACATAAACTTGAATTCCTGGCATTAAAATGGGCAGTGACCAAGAAATTTCACGATTATTTATATGGCAACAAATTCATAGTAAAGACAGACAACAACCCATTGACATATGTACTTTCTTCAGCTAAATTGGATGCTACTGGGCATAGATGGTTAGCCGATCTTTCAGCTTATGATTTTTCTTTAGAATATTTACCTGGTATTCATAATGTTGCAGCTGATGCTTTGTCAAGACTCCCTGTTTCAAATCTTGATAATTCTGTTGTATCTGCTATAATTAATTTCACTGACGTTGATCTTGGTAAAATTGAAACTTTTTCTTTTAGTCAGAATGTTCTAGATTGTGTTGTTTCTTCTATTGTTGGTTTTCCTGTGGAATATTCAAATTTAATGGATAAGTCAAGAGTTTTCAAGGCTCAACAAGATTGTATTGGAATTCAGTACATAATTCAAGCTGTTAGAAATGGATGTAAACCTACAGATTTTCATAGTGTCGATAAGGATACAGCTGCTATACTTCGTTCCTGGGATAATTTAATTTTAAAAGATGATATTTTATATAGGAAATACTTACCTTCACCTTCATCTGATACCGTGTTTCAAATTGTTTTACCTGTTTCTCTTCGTCAACATGTATTATCATTACTGCATGACAACATGGGTCACATGGGTCGTGATCGCACGTTGGACTTGGTCAAATCACGCTTCTTCTGGCCTTCAATGTCGAAGTATGTAGAGGAGTATATCAGATCCTGCGACAGATGTATTCCCCGAAAGTCTCCTCAGCAGAATATTAGAGCGCCTTTAGTCAGTATTCAAACTTCGGAACCATTACAACTTGTTTGTACTGATTTTCTTTCTTTGGAACCATCTAAAGGTGGTATTGAGAATATTTTAATCATAACTGATCATTTCACAAAATTTGCTGTAGCAGTACCAACAAGAAACCAGACCGCGAAAACAACCGCTAAAATCTTAATTCAACATTTTTTCTTACCATATGGCATTCCTGCACGACTTCATTCCGATCAGGGTCGAAATTTTGAATCTAATATTATTAAAGAAGTATGCAGTATCTTGGGAATAAATAAATCTAGAACAACACCTTATCACCCCATGGGTAATGGGTTATGTGAGCGTTTTAATAGAACTTTATTAAATATGCTTGGTACACTCACTGAAGATCAGAAGATTAGCTGGAAAGATTATGTTTCATTTTTAGTATATGTATATAACTCTACAAAACACGAGTCCACTTCTTATTCTCCTTTTTATC